AAGCCCATTATCACTTTGTAGTGGTCTTTAGAGGCCACTAAAGTGGTTCATAACTTCCCTTGGGAATATTTTGGCCACTTCCTGAGTTCTTTCCTTCAGTCTGGCATTTAACTGCTCAACTCATGCCTGCACAGGTACAGCAAAAAGAGACCATGGCTGCCTGTTGAGCAAGACAGACAAGGTGGGGAAAAGGAAGAAGTCAGCTAGACTTGGGACGTTCCTCAAGCCTGCAGGCAAGGTCGCGCAGACTTCCTCCACTGCTGACTATGGGTATGGCTGGAACAGGGATCCTTGTCTCACTGCAAGAAAAGAATTCAGGAAAGAGACAGAGATTGGTGATTAGCAAGCTAGGAAAGTTTGATGAAGGAGTTACACCTTACAGATCAGGCGAGCTACTCAGCAGAAAACTGAGTGTCCCTTCTGCTTTAGATTGGGGTGTTTATGCGTATGGGGTGAACTTTTCCCCACACACCTTCCTGCGGCATATTGACACATGGAAGGCTTCCCACACATGAGAGTCCCACCCGTTGCCAGGGGAGGGGTGGTTAATCACACAGTGTAATCAGACAGAAAGATCCCTGGGTGCTTAGCCAAGAGGATTCCCCTGGGAAGTCCTGGGAGTGAAGAGACAGAAACCTAATGACAGGAAGATTCCCAAGGGCTGGATCTCCCCAAGGCATCTAGGTCCTTCCCTCATTCAACTACACAAACTTCCTGGCTTTCACACACACACACACACACACACACACACACACAGGCTTATGTCTGTCTTCCTGCCTAATGTTACCAGTTAAATACAGAAGTTCTAGAACTTCAAATCTTCTTCTTGCTTTACTTTATAACCTGAAAGTTTATATCTGTGTCTAGTCCTACAACCATGGATAACAATCTGCCATAGAAACTGAAGTGAAGGGCAAATAAGAAACATTCATTCCTCGCCATTAGGGGGTTCAGCTTGTCCAGCTAAGAGCGGATCTTTGCTTGCTGTTCAGCTGACTTGCTCACGGGCCTGACCATGGTTTCTCCTCTACATGTCCACAGTCCATTTCCTGGGACTGATGGACTAGCCTGGGTGTGTCATACTCATGCTGATGGCAGACAGCAAGAGCACTTAAGCCCAATCTCAGTAGCACCTTCCTGCCTTCTGCTTGCATTGTGTTCACTAACAGTCCATTGGCCCAAAGAAGCCACATGACCAAGTGCAGATTTGGAAGACCCTCAAGGATACACAGCAAAGGCAAAGGATATAAGGCAGGAAAAAGAGCCTCTTTTTCACTTACCAGTAGGATATATTTTAAAAATCTAAATAGAGGGGCCGGTGCTGTGGTGCAGCAGGTTAACACCCTGGCCTGAAGTGCCAGCATCCGATATGGGCACAGCTCCACTTCCAATCCAGCTCTCTGCTATGGCCTGGGAAAGCAGTAGAAGATGGTCCAAGTCCTTGGGCCTCTCTGCACCTGCATGGAGACCTGGAAGAAGCTCCTGGCTCCTGGCTTTGGATCAACACAGCTCTGGCCATTGCTGCCAAATGGGGAGTGAACCATCAGATGGAAGACCTTTCTCTCTCTCTGCCTCTCTTCTCTCTGTGTAACTCTGACTTTCAAATAAATAAATAAATCTTTAAAAAATCTAAATAGAGAAGAAAACAATGGTCATGAAAGCTTTGGGGAGACGTATACAAAATACAAAATCATAGTTACATAGAATGAACAAGTCTAGAGAGTTAACATAGAACATGAGAGCTATAGATAGTAAAATTGTACTACACATGGGATTCATGCTCAGTGAACAAAATTTAGCTGCTCTTGCCATAAAAACAGACCAGAAGGAGTAACTATGTGAGACGATGGATATGCTGATATACTTCACTATGGTAACCTTCTTACTGGGTACATGTGTCCCATAACACTTTGGATATCTTAAATACACACAATAGAATCTGTCTTTGAAAAAGTCTTCTTTCTATTTTGAATTCTGGCTGCACTTCAGAGTATTTCTTTTCTTCAAGGGAACTTTATCTGTAAACATAATGGTACGAGACATATTGGAGGATAACAACTTCCTTGCAGGGGAAGCTATTATAAAGCAGAGTGCATTTGAAAGTCAAATCTTGGACGCAATAACCAAAACCTCTCCTGGATTCCAGGAGACTCCAGGTGCCCATCAGTCATATTTACAAAGCTGAAAATCTCAAGGGCCATGAGTTATAGAAACTCTGATATCTTTCAGGGACCATGCCATTCTCTCAACAGGTATCCTCATGAATTTTACATTTTCAATGTATTATAAGCTTTAAAGATTTATGCTAAAATTGGATTTTAATAGAGGACTCCCTGAATGACATTGAAACCTTATTGTTGTTGTTTTTCATCCTGATAGCTTTAACTTTCTTTTTCATGAGCATTTGGTAACTGTTTTCTCCAAATCATTATATAAGTGCATTTCTAGATGTATTTAATGTCTGCCTTTCAATCATGCTTTGCTTTTTTCAGTAAGTCACTTACTGTAATACACTGTTCAAGTACTTTGGTTTCCTCTTCCAACTGAAACAGCTTGTTTGGGGTCATTTTTTGTTACAGCTTATAGCACATTGTAGTGCACTAGAAAAGAGATTTGAAGTTTGTTCCTCAGTTATTTTCTTTTTATATAAAAAAGAATGGAATATATACATAGGATTTTTATGATTCAGTATTCTTAAGTACTTTCTTTATTATTTCCCTCCCATATACATGTGAGAGTCTTCAAAATATTCCTGGAAAAAATGAAAGTAAAAGATACAAATAAAAAATATGAACTTTATTTCTCAGCATCGTTTGCATGAAGTTTAAGAGACTTTTTTGTATGCATGACATCAGTCATTTAGTCCATCCCTGAAGAGCTAAGGATCCTGGAAATTTAACCATATCAGTGCAGTCTTCTTATATTGTTAAATGCAGAAAAATGGAAGTCTTTTAAAGATTTTTTTAAAGATTTACTTAATTTATTTAAAAGGTAGAGACACAGAGAGAATGAGAGAGTGAGATCTTACAACTGCTGGTTCACTCCTCAAATGACCACACTTGCCAGGGCTGAACCAGGCCAAAGCCAGGAGCCAGGAACAACATCCAGGTCTCCTGTTGGGTATCAGAGGCCCAAGAACCTGTGCCATCTTCTGCTGCTTTTCTAAGCCTATCAGCAGGAAGCTGGATAAGAAGCCAAATATCTGGGGTTCAAACTAGTCCCCCGACATGGGATGCAAGCGTCACATATGGAGGCTTAACCCATTGCACCACATCAGTAACTCCTAAAGATTTCTTAGGATTAGGAAATAAAAATAATGCAGAAGGAGCTGAATCAAGATTGTAAGGTCAATTCCTACTGACTTTCCCTCAAAACTCTCCCAAGGGTGGGTGTTGTGGTACAGTACGTTAAACCAATGTTTGAGTCACCATCATTCTATGTTGGGGTGCCAGTTGAGTCCTGTCCTCTGCTTCTAATCCAGCTCCCTGCTAATGTGCCTGGGAAGGCAGCAGATAATTACCCAAGTTCTAAGTTCTTGGGTCCTTGCTACCTATGGAGGAGACCTGGATAAAATTCCTGACTCCTGACTTCTGTTACTCCTGCCTGTTACAGGCAACTGGGGAACGAATCAATGTATGGAAGATCTCTCTCTCTCTCTCTCTCTCTTTCCCTTTTTTCCCACTCCCTCTCCTTTTCTCCCTCTCAAATAAATAAACACATTTTTTAAAGAATATTTACCTCCATGATTAAAAATCTCCCCCCAAATTGGTGTTTCTTGATGAGAGAAATGAGCAGGACCATTGTAGCTCGCAAGGACTCTTTCCTGAAACTTTCCTGGGAGTCCTTCTGCTAAAGCTTTGTCTAACTTTCTCCACTCTGCTGACCAGCGAAGTTTATAACGCTCGAGCCCTCCAGAAAGTCAATAAGCAATTTGGAGTATCTCCAAAACCATTGCCATGATCTTTGTTCTTGACTGACCCATTTTCCTTTGCACCACTTCTACCTCTTGGTAGCCATTACTTTAATTGTGCTTTGTCTTCAGGACTGTTTTTGGTAAGGTCATGTTTCAACTCTTATTACAATTCTTCAAAGAAATGCTTCAGGATCTTGATGCATGTGTTTAAAATTTCCATCGAAAGTTCTGCCCCTGACTGTAGCTGATCTGGATGCAACAGGTTTGACATCCATTAAGCAAAAATTTTATTCAACCCTGACTTTTCAATCAGAATAACTGTGTGAGAGGTACCTGCTGAAGTGTCTACGGTGCTGGCTATTGTTCCTGCTGTGAATTGTTAGTCTCTCCGATTAAGGCACAAACAGGGATCATTTTTTCCTCACAAGTTGGGGAAGATGATCTGCTGCAATGGGCTTCACCTTCAACATCGTCTCATCCCTTCTTAAAATAAATGATCTACTTTTAAACTCCTGACTTCTCTGGGGAAATGTTACCATAAAATTTGTAAAACGTCGATGATTTTATCATTTTGGCCCCAAGCATCACCATAAATTTGATGTTTGTCCTTGTTTCAATTTGAACAGAATTCATGCTCTGATAGAGACCCTTTTCAAAATGATGCCTTGTTGGGGCCGGCGCCGTGGCTCACTTGGTTAATCCTCCACCTGTGGCCATTGGGAATTGAACCAGCAGATGGACAATCTCTCTCTACCTCCCCTCCCCCACCTTGTAACTCTGCCTTTCAAATAAAATAAATCTTAAAAAAAAAGAATGAATTGAAATCCATCTTAGCTTTCTCACAATATACATTGTCCAAATATTACTAGAAAGTTTTTTTGCACCAAAATGAGCTCATACTTTTAATTTCATCTTGCCATGAACTTTTTGAAAGACACTTGCATTAACAGTGCTCTATCCCTTTCTGTTTTTCCAGGTTCTAGAAGAGTGCTTAGAAGATAAAAGGCGCTCATACGTTTCTGCTGAATGGAATAATTGTTGTGTTTTCACTGTATACTGTATTTTCACTGTCATTCATCCATTTTAGGTTAGAAAATTAAACACCAACTTTACATATGTGCAACAGTCAGAATTCTGCCTGGAGCTAAACATTACATATATATTTCAAGTGAGATGTCAAGAAACAGGGAAAAAGTACTGGCAGCCCTGGAGTACACCCTTCTTTCATAGGACACCTGAAAAAGGTGAGAATATTTATTGACTTTATTCTCTTAGGCTTCATTTATTTTAACTTTTGTTTCTCTTCTAAGTACATATTTTTTTTTCCTGTTTGACTTATACCAGAATTGAAAAAACAATCTGAATTGTCATTTTTCTTTGATTTTGTTGAGACTGACTATAATTGATGCAATAGTCCTCAAACATACCTGGGCATAGAAACCACGTAAGGGTGTCTGTTTGAGATGCATGTTCACCATCCCCACCCACCAAGGGTTTGATTCCACCATGGGAAGTAGGGAGTTCTCAAAAATCTCACGTGTGCAAATGTCTTATGTGATTGTGGGGTGTAAATTAATCAAAGATCTTGTCTTGAAAAATAGTTACATTAAACTCATTAAGACATTCTGATAAAAGGGACACAAATCAAATCTTATCAATAAACACTGGTTAACTACTATATGTAAACCAATCAGAAACTTGAGATTAATTATCCTCTCAACAACAGGATGTTTCATATTTTCTTCTTCTAAGATCAGCTGAGATCTCGTGTGTTCAGGGTGGTAGAGCTGTAGAATATTTTCTTATTTTTAATATTGTTATTTTAATTTTATATCCACTTACCCAAGTCATTCTATAACATCTTAACCAAATGGACTTCAAGTGTAATAATAAAAAAAATCTATTTTAGCTGTCATAAAACTTTATAACAGCCTCATTTATCTGAAGACACCCCCTTACTGAAGGTAGCTTATGCACTAAATTTAAAAATTTCCCCTTAAGACTGAAGGATTTAATCATAATCACAGTATTGTTAATATCATTCTTATTACATTTTAGGATTATGTTTTCAAAATGCTTTGGCGTTATTAATAGCAGACAAATAAGAGGGAGCAAGAGGAGCCAGATGAGCTGAAAAGCTCTTCTAGCGCCCCCTAATGCCCAACTCTTAGAAATACATTAAATGAATAAGTGTCTCTTTATTTTTTTCCAATACTATCAATTCTATCTTTTAAAAATTTTTATTTATTTGAGAGGTGAAGAGGCATAAAAGAGAAACAAATAGGCAGACAGAACTCCTTTCTGCTGGTTCACTCCCAAAATGCCCACAACAACTGGGGCTGGGCTGCCAGAGACAGGAATACAAAACTCAGTCCAGGTCTCCCAACCATCACCTGCTGTATATCAGGCTGTTCTCCATAGGTAAGGTTTTAAGTACCAGGAAATAGGGAATAAGAACACCACACCTGCTCTTCAATAGTTTAAATTGAAAGGCTTTTTTCCTAAGGAGAAAAATTCCTGAAGGGGAAAAATATGCTAAATACTCCTGAAAACTTGCAGTTATCTAAGTTTAGTATGTTAGCTAAGACAAACAAAAGATTATTTTCTTGACACAAATTCTTATTTGAGGAAGTGAACACATGCTATGGAAAGTGCTAATATTAAATCTTTTTGAGAATGTGTTTCTTTATTTTTTGTTTGCAAAAGCAATTCAAACTTATAATATACAACAGAGAAACACCTGTTATTTACATTTTAATGAATACTAGGTTTTTTTTTCCTATTCACCTATTTTTCTAGTGATTGATGCTATGGTGTGTATTCTGTTTTATATCCTGATTTTCTTAGTCTAGTTTTTAAAAACTAATTTAATGGCTGTGCAACCTTCCAATTAATTAATGTATTACAATTATTTATTAATTTATCTATTTTTAATTTATGAATGTATTACAATTTATTTATTTATTTAGTAATTTCCTTATTTAAATCATACTAAATAAATAATTTGTGTTATTTCCATTTTTTCCTACTATTAACAAACTTATTTGAGTAGGTTTATTTTCAAACTCTCTTATTTCTTTATGTCTAAAAAAGAATTGGATCAAATGTTAAGCACATTTTATTTTTTGATTAATTTTATTTTTGCCAAAATTTTATTTTTTCCCAAAGAAACCTTTTATTTAAGGAGTACAAATTTCATGTATTTCATAAATACTACCCTAGGAATATAGTGATTCTTCTCACCATATCAGCCCTCCCACCCACACTCCCACCCCTCGTCCTCCTCCCTCTCCCATTCCCAGTTCCATTCTCCACTAAGATTCATTTTCAATTAACTTAATACACAGAAGACCAACTCTATATAAGTATATAAGTAAAGATTTCAGCAATTTGCACATAAAAAAAAAAAACACCTGTTACTCAATAATTGAGTCAAGGGCTGTTCTTATCTTCCACTTAACAAACTAAAATGAAATAAATCTGAGAACAAGTTTTACAGTTAACTCTCATAATACAACTCATTGAGGACAGAGGTCCTGCATGGAAAGTTAGTACACAGTGACTCCTGTTGTTAATTTAACAATTAACACTCTTATGTATGACGTCAGTGATCACCTGAGGCTCTTGACATGAGCTGCCTAGGCTGTGGAAGCCTTTTGAATCCACAAACTCTGTCAGTATTTAGACAAGGCCATAAGCAAAGTGGAAGTTCTCTCCTCCCTTCAGAGAAAAATACATCCTTCTTCGATGGCCCCTTCTTTCCACTGGGGTCTCATCCAAAGAGATCCTTCACATAGATCATTTTTTGCCACAGTGCCTTGGTTTTTTCCATGCCTGAAATGCTCTCACGGGCTTTTCAGCCAGACCAGAATGCCTTAAGGGCTGATTCCGAGGTCAGAGAAGCACATTTTAAAATGCAGATGTATGTTGTCAAATATGCCTTATCTTCTTTTCAAAGATTTTATTTATTTATTTGAGAGGTAGAGTTACAGATAGAGAGAGGGAGAGACAGAGAGAAAGGTCTTCCATTTGCTGATTCACTCCCCAAACGGTCACAGCGGCTGGAGCCAGGAGGCTCCCAAGTCAGGAGCCAGAGATTATTCCAGGTCTCCCACACCGATGCAGGGGCCCAAGGACTTGGGCCATCTTCTACTGCTTTCCCAGGCCACAGCAGAGAGCTGGATCGGAAGAGGAACAGCCGGGACTAGAACCGGCACCCACATGGGATGCCGGCGCTTCAGGCCAGGGCTTTAACTCGCTGAGTCACAGCGCCGGCCCCTACAAGGTGCTTTCAAAATGATGCCCAGCAAGTACTGCAGGACAGATCATAACGCAGAGGCGGCCTGGGCTGCAGTCCCCCACCTGCTGGTGTGTCCCTTCTCTGGACCACTCCTGTCCTCAGCCTCTGAAAACCAGGTCTCAGTAAGAAACCAAGACAACTCGTTTGCAAGAAGGTCTACAAGTAACATATACGACTCGATCTCTTTTTCTTCCCCCTTAAAATATTTAGATGTTAATGGAAAACAAAGCCCTATACTAAAAAAGAGAAAGAAAATCAACTCCTCAGAATGCAACACTGAGCTTTAGCCAACACTGGAGGTATCTGGGTAGGAGACCTGCTGTATTCCACCCTAGTGTAGTACAAGAGACCAGCTAAGTGGCTGAAGTGTTGAGTAACTTCAGGAGAAGAAATAATGCTCGTTGGATCTTCATTGTGTGCTGGGCACTGGACAATATGCATTTCACATCTGAATTGTCCTTCTCTGTAAAAGGAGTATGATTTGGGGCCGGCGCCGTGGCTCACTTGGCTAATCCTCCCCCTGCTGCGCCGGCATCCCATATGGCGCCGATTCTAGTCCCGGCTGCTCCTCTTCCAGTCCAGCTCTCTGCTGTGGCCTGGGAAGGCAGTGGAGGATGGCCCAAGTGTTTGGGCCCTGCACCCGCGTGAGAGACCAGGAAAAGCACCTGGCTCCTGGCTTCGGATCGGTGCAGCACGCCGGCCATGGCAGCCATTTAGGGGGTGAACCAACGGAAGGAAGACCTTTGTCTCTCTCTCTCACTGTCTAACTCTATCTGTCAAATAAATAAATAAATAAATAGGAGTGTAACTCTTTGGAATTCTTTTTTTTAGATTTATATTTATTTGAAGGCTGGAGTTACAGAGGGAGGGAGGGAGAGAGAAAGAGAGAGAGAGATCTTCCATCCACCAGTTGAGAGAGAGATCTATCTTCCATCCACTGGTTTAGTCCCCAGATGACTGCAAGGCAAGGGCTGTGCCAGGCTGAACCCAGGAGCAGGAGCACCTTCTGGGTTTCCCACATGGGTGCAGGGGCCCAAGGACTTGGGTCATCTGCTGCTGCTTTTCTACAGGCTATTAGCAGAGAGCTGGATCAGAAGTAGAGCAGCCAGGACATGCACTAGCATCCCCATATGGGATGCCAGCATCACAGGCGGAGGCTTCACCCAATATGACACAACACCGGCCCCAGGAGTGTAATTTTTACGGCGTGGATGAAGAGGATGATGCCCAGGGAAATACCGCAGTTTTGCCAAATGTTACCAAGCTGGTAAATGGCAAAGCTGGCACAACTCGGGCTTTGGGATTCCAGCACATTATTTATTCCAGTCCCCTTCCTAAGAGACATAGATGGGTCTCACATTGTCCCCCACCCTGCACCAGCCACCTGGCCAAGTCCTCTTGTGCATATTAGTTAGCAATAAAACTGAGCTTCATTTCCAATGCAGGGTTTGTTGGGAAAATGCAAATACATCAGAAAAGAGCCACTTGATGTTACCAGCCATTTCTACCTTGGCCAGAATACAAGTTGTAGAAGCAGATTGGGGTTGAGATGATAAAGAAGAAACCCTGAAACTCCAGGAAACTTGGGAGGGGCAAGTCTGAGACAAGGATGCAGTACAGGTGGGAAAAGTGCATTTGCAAAGACTGGACCAGCACACCGAGTAACTACTGCGTTTTCCCACTGGAACTGGTCCAGAAAAGCAGTGTTTCTGCACCAGAAACCATGGCACCTGCTTAAAATGATGCATAAGAACCAGTGCCATAGAAGTCAGACTCCCTATAAGAAGGGGGAGTGTCATGCAAGATACCACAGGATATGAACAGGACATGTGGACAGAAAAGGGGAGACCTGGTTGCCCAACCCATCGTGAGTGTTTTCAGGGGGTGGGGAAGGATGGACATGTGAGAGCTACCTCTCATACTGTCTGGTCCCCTCTCGCTTGC